CCCCAAAACCCCAAAACCCCAAAACCCCTTTAAAGAAACAAAATTTACATGATTGTAAATTAAATAGCTTCTCAATATAATTGTTAAGCAAATCTTAAATCTTTAGCTTAAATAAAATCTCAGATTTAGGCAATTTATCCAATTTTACCTGTTACTGGCCTCATCTTAACTTCTGACTAAGTAACTCCATTCCACTCAACCAATCTAGCAGGCTAACTAGATGCATGAATTTCTTGAATCATTTGCTTAAAAGGTACATTATGCCTGGTATGACCCAAATTAAGTACACTTCTTTAAGGCTATTATCTATCGACGAGGAAAGTTCTAGAGCCTTCGTATAGTAATCCCTTCTAAGTTGTAGAGTCAAAATCCAAGTCTTTTTTGTTTTTCTTTTATGTTTATCTTGCTATCGAACAACTAGTCATCCATTAAGGAGCTAATTTAGAGTTATCATGTTCATTCATGTAATTTGGTTGCCTTTCAAATGGTTTATTGCGAGATAAATTTTAATCTGGATCCACAGTTATCCAGCCCTAGCATTTACTCACAATAAACAAAGGCTCATTTCTTTGTAAGGTATCTATATTTAGAAATCTAAAAGTTTAAAATATATACTTTGTTTAGAATGAGCTCTTAAGTAATCTGGCATTTCTAAGTCTTAAATTTATTCACTCTTTGGAATTCTTGTCAAAACTTTGGAACTATTATAATAGTCAGAGGTATTTTTTGTCAATCTCATTTTTTACTCCTGCAATTAATTTCCCTAGTCAATAGTTGAATCTGATTGAACTGTGACTTTATTTCATTTTTCCATAAATTAAGATTTATCTATTTGCTCAGCCAAAGGAATTCGGCCAAATTTTCTTAAAATTTTGCCATTTTATACTTAGTTTTTTCTATGAATAATTCAATTCATAGAATGATTAATAGGTAATTCATGTCGTAAACTAGGTGAACTCTTGCTTATATATTGGAATGGGTTGAGGTAGGCTTTAGGGTTATAATTATTTATATCCACTGAATTCATAGTAATTGGCTTGATTTCTATTTCTTCATCTGCCCTTTTATTTCTTTTTTCAAAAGTACTAGACTTATCCTAAAATAGAGTCACATCTAAAAGAAAAATCTACAGGTTAAGCTGCAAAATTTTTAAACCTAGAAGGTTTAATAGTCTAACTGTCATACTTGCCAATAGCATAGAATTATATTTTGGTGCCTGATGGTGGTCTAGAGATACTAAAATGAGAAGAATTTACCTTTAAGGGATGATTGACATTTTGATAGATGATTCCAAAATTAATTTATAAATATTAAAATTAAACAGACACAATCAATTTTATAACTCATCATTAAAGTAAAATTAGTTATGTTAATATTTGTATTTGGTCATTCTCAAATGATGAGTAGGTCATAAACATTGCAGCTTCATCATTTTTTATGTTTAGAGATTGCTGATTGATGACTCTCTTTTCTTTGTCTTTTATCTTAAGTTCCAATAGCTGACATTCCAGCTAAACTGGCATTCTTACTATCGATCATAGACTATTACTCCGACTTTTTAGCTTTTTCTTTCATTATTGCCTCTAGCTTTCGTTGATTGATAACTTCTCTTAACTTTTCACCGAGGAATCTCACAGCATTAAATGGTAGTTCTTAAATGGGAATTGGCTCTGGCTGATTAGTAGTAGATTATTTGCTTTGTTCAGCCATGCTATTCATATTTGAATAATCGACGCTTTATAGCCTAGATGATTCTAGAGGTTCTTCTTCTTGAGATTCTTCTGCCTCTGAGTCAGTATACTATTAAATTAGTTATATAAATTTTTCTTGACTTACCTCATCTGAATAGTAGTCATGGTGCTCTCCTTCAGAAGATTCATAGTCAGAGCCCATTTCTAGCCTTCTTCTTTCCTTTTCAAGTCTTCTAGCTGCTCGTCTGGCATCATCATTTTGCTTTTCAACGATACTCCAGTATTTTTCTAGTTCTCCACTATCTCCCTAGATATAATCCAAAAGTGATTTCATGGCAACTCTGACATCTCCGAATATATTAGATTCAAGATATTCTCTGGCATTTTAATTAGTAATTGATTTCTCTGAAGTATTTATGAGCAGTCAAAATCTTACCATATGCATCTAGATCCATTTTAGAATTACTATATTAAAAACTAGATAACTGTTATTATTTTTCAATATTATAGTCTTGGAAAATAAATAATACTAGCAGCCAGGGGTTTTGGGGTTTTGGGGTTTTGGGG